GGAAGTGGTTCATATGGAGTATGAACACCAGTAAGGAACAGTTGGCCCTGATACACTACAGTAAAATGCTGTGAAAGGTAGCTTGAAAACATGCTTCAACTATTAAACTCCAATCTCAGCTGCTCATAACCTGCCTCGCAATAAGTCCTACTTGCCTAAATAACGTAGAGTTCTTTATCACAATGAAGCATCCATAGCTTTACTGAATTGTGCAGCAGGTTTGATGTTGCATAGCCTAGTCCTCCAGATGTTTCTTATATTCTTATAAATTCAATGCCTGCCATATACAACAGACAGCAATTAATCTGTTTTGTCTGCTGTTGGTTGAAAAGGGACGCAAAATAAGAACAGCAGGAGGACATTTAGCACCTCCAGTCTGTTCTGCCAGTCAATTAGATCAAGTCTGATCTGTATCTCCACTGTATTTACCCACCTTGATTCCGTTTGCCTTAATGTCCTTACCTAACAAAAATCTGTCAGTCGCAGTTTTGAATTGCTGGATTGGACACAAGGAGAACTTGTTGCTTTCCTTTTTTTCTCAAATTAACATCAATCTGAACATCAGAACAAAGAACAATACAGCACAGGAACAGGCCTTTTGGCTCTCCAAGCCTGCGCTGCCACTTTTTGCCTTTCTGTATCTCTCTATTCCCTTCCTATTCATGTATTTGCCCAGGTGCTCCTTAAATGCTACTATTATGTATGCTTCCACCACCTCCTCTGTCAATGTGTTCCAGGCACTCACTACCCTTTGTGTGAAAAACTGTCCTCGCATATCTCTTTTAAACTCATCCCCCTACACCTTAAACCTGTGTCCCCTAGTAATTGAACTCTCCACCCTAGGCAAAAGCCTCATACTTACCATACGATCTGTGCCATTAACAATCTTATAAACTTTTATCAGGTTGTCCCTCAAACTCCTAAAACAAACCCAGTCTATCCAACCTTTCTTCATAGCTAAAATCCCACACACCAGGCAATATCCTGGTTAACTTTTTCTGTACCCTCTCCAAAATATCCACATCCTTCTGGTAGTGTGGTGACGAGAACTGTATATAATATTCCAAGTGTAGCCTAACTGAAGTTCTATAAAGCTGCAGCATAACTTGCCTATCGTTATACTCAGAGCCCCTTCCAATGAAGGCAAACATGCCATAGGCCTTTTTAATTTCTTTATGGCTATCTGCACTGCCACCTTCAGTGATCTGTGGATCTGCACACCCAGATTTTTCTGCATATCAGTACTCTTAAGGGTTCTATCATTCACTGTAAAACTTCCAACTGAATTTAACCCTCCAAAGTGCATCACCCCACATTTGTCCGGATCAAACTCCATCTGCTATTTTTCTGCCCGTGCCTCCAACTGATCTATATCCTGTTGTATCCTCTGACAATCCTCCTCACTATCCACAACTCCACCAATCTCTGTATTGTCTGCAAACTTACTAGCTACGCCAGCTACATTTTCCTCCAAATCATTAATGTAGACTACGAACAGCAGAGGACCCAGCACTGAACCCTGTGGAAAACCACTAGTCACAACCCTCCATTCTGAAAGGCGTCCTTCCAGCCCGACCCTCTGCCTTCTATGACTAAGCCAGTTCTGTGTCCATCTTGCCAGCTCACCCCTGATACCATGTGACTTCAGCTCAATTCCCCATTCACAGCACTCCCGCTTGGTGTATTGGGTTTGTCAGGTTGGACTGCTTGCTGTCCTTGGTGAACCAGCAGCTTTTGTGTATGTCTAACTGCAGCAAGCAGTTTGTGAAGCTCCCAGAAACAGCAATGAGATAAAGGCCAGATCATCATTTCATTATTTGAGATATATGAGTTAAGAGATAAATGGGGCTTAGGGTGAACTCCCAACTCAAACTCACACAGCAGCAACCTGCCCACAGAAGTCCAGAAGCCACTCTATGGAAAATTCCTACGTGAGGAAACAGGTAGAGGCTTGAAATCAGGGAGACGTTCCTCCAAATAGCCCATGAAATTTTAAACAGAAGATTTCCAGGTACTTATTAAACCTGGGGAGAATGGAATGTATCTATTAGAGTTAAATTACGAAACAAACCATCAAAATAAGAAGTTGTCCCTTTCTTGCATTGGGGTCCCTGTTATAGTGAACAGCCAAGAAAATATTCACAGAGAATGTTAGAAAAGCCCTTTTCCTACCCCTCTGTCTCCCCAAACAGCCTCAGTGTGTTTATCCAGCAATTCACAAAATGGGAATTCCTGCAGTGGATTAACTGCTTTGGTCCTGCTAGATGAAGGCAGAGATAATCAGTCAGGGGTCCTGGTCACAATGATCCTCACCCACTGCTACAGTCATTGAAACAGTAGATGATTAAGCCCCTCGAGCCTGTTCCACTATTCAATGAGATCATGGCTCATCTTTGGCTTACCTCCATATACTTACCTTTAGACCCTATCTCTTAATACCTCAGCTTAACAAAAAAATCATCAGTCTCAGACTTAAAATTAACAATTGATCCAGCATCCACTGACATTTGTGGAAGGGAGTTCCAAACATCCACCACCCTTTGTGTGTAGAAGTGCTTCCCAATATCTCTCCTAAATGGCCTAGCCCTAAGTGCTGCTCTGTAGCTTGACGAGCAGCAAGGACGGGATTGGAAGTCAATGGCTGATTAACAAACCACCACTCACCATCTCAGTTCGGCCTTGAAAAATGGCCATTTCGCTGAATACAGCAAAAGACATGCTTAGGGTCATTAAATGGATGCACCTCAGAAGATGGCTGTTCAGCCCATTGTGTCTGTTCCAGTTCTCTGCAAAAGCAGTTCACCTAGTCCAAGTTCCCTGCCTTTTCCTGAAGTATGTTTCCTTCGAAAACAACAAATCCAATATCATTTTTAATGACTAGACTCTATCACTCACTCAGATGGTACTTTTGCTAATCCCTTACATCATAGAATCCCTACAGTGTGGGAGCAGGCCATTCTGACCCTCCCTCCACGCCCTAACCTAACCCTGTAACCCTGCATTTCCCATGGCTAATCCACCCAGCCTGCTCATCCCTGGACACTGTGGGCAATTTAGCACAGCCAAACCACCTAACCTGCACATCTTTGGACTGTGGGAAGAAATCTGAGTGCCCGGAGGAAACCTGCATAGACACAGGGAGAATGTGCCACACAGACAGTTGCCTGAAGCTGGAATCGAACCCAGGTCCCTGGCACTGTGAGACAGCAGTGCTAACCACTGGGCACCATATCCTTTGGTTCTCCAGCTTCCTGCCAATGAGAACAATTTCTCCCTATCTACTCTGCCCAACCCCACATGATTTTCAGCATCTTGATCAAATTTGCCCTTCAACCTTCTCCAGTCCAAGTACACTATTCTCAATAAAAACGGAAAGAACTGCGGATGCTGTAAATCACGAACAAAAACAAAGTTGCTGGAGAAACTCAGCAGGTCTGGCAGCATCTGTGGAGGAGAAAACAGAGTTACCGTTTCGGGTCCGGTGACCCTTCCTCAGTTCTGTGGAAGGGTCATCGGACCGGAAACGTTAACTCTGCTTTCTCCTTCACAGATGCTGCCAGACCTGCTGAGCTTTTCCTGCAACTTTGTTTTTGTTCCTGATTTACAGCATCCGCAGTTCTTT